GCAATTGAAAGACACATTTGGAAAGTTTTCCAGAGCTCTGCACATTTCTTACTGACTTAGCCAAAGATTTAAAGTTAATGTATTAAGATTTAGGCCTCTTTTATATACTTGGTGGCAGTGGTTACTTGGTTAAGTTTATCAAAGTCTTTTAACCCTCCTAATGATGAATTTTTATGAAAGTTGGACAGTGAGTAAGGGAGACTGAAGAAGAATTGATGCGTTTGAATCATAGTGTTGGCGAAGAATATTGAATATACTGTGTACTGCCAGAAGAACAGACAAATCTGTCTTGGAAGAAGTACAGCCAGAATGCTCCTTAGAAACGAGGATGGTGAGACTTCATCTCACGTACTTTGGACATGTTATCAGGAGAGACCAGTCCCTGGAGAAGAACATCTTGCTTGGTAAAGTAGAGGATCAGCGAAAAAGAGGAAGACCCTTAATGAGATGGATTGGCATGGTGGCTGCAACAATGGGCTCAAATACAGCAACAGTTGTGAGGATGGCACAGGACTGGGCATTATTTCATTCTGGTGTTCATAGGGTTGTTGTGAGTCAGAACCGACTCGACAGCACCTAACGACAACAATGATGAGTTTTATTGATGGTGTCTTTTGTATGAGCTATTTAATAGTTCAGTAAGTATGTTTTTCAACTTTTGTATACAAGACATACCATGGAATGTGACATCAGAAATCTTACTTTTAAAATGATTTCTAGATTCTGAAAAACTTGAGCTTCATGATAGTTTGAAAGCTCATGGGATAGTGTTTTGTTTGCCTCTTCTTCACCCCGTTAGCGAGGGAAGGTGTCCTACCCTAGGATTCTGGGGATGGCCAGACACACAGCATCTGACACTGGGCAGATGAGATTGGCAGCAGATTGCTAGTCTTATATACTCATGACTCAGGAGAGGAGCATACCGCATACCATGCAGGGCCACATGGGATTTACATTTGGGAGAAGAGTGAACCAACAGGGGCTGTGGAGGCAAGCTTTGTAGTAACAAGAGAGTAAGGTGTACCCTGATTCCTGTGGGAGAATGTGACTGACTTGTTTGAATAATTTTGGGGGCTGGCAGAGAGGTGAAACCTGTTAGATTGAGAACCAGGTTGGGTGTAGGTGGCCTGGCTGATAGGGGAACTAGCCGACTGGGGAGCCTTTCCTGCTGGCTGGGGAGCACATCTGGCAAGAGCAGAGGAGCTCAGGATTAGGCTTTCTGGGCCCTGTGAGGCTCAAAGTTATCAAGGTAGCACATGGAACTTTAGGCGTTACAATACAGACAGCCATTTCAGAACTCCTGTGATAAAATCTCCCCTTGGAAAACCTGTCTGAGAATATCTTAAAGTGGATTCGAGGCAGTCTATTGCTAGTAGTTAACCCGTAATGTAATTTGATCATGTATTTTTTCAGTGTTCTGGAGTGCCAAATTTTATCATTACACCATTATTCTGTTAAAAAAGGGTGGTAGTAGCAAAAATTTTAAAAATTTTATCAAGAAAATAGTGTAATCTGTGTAATCTTTGAAAAGATAGAAGAACGTTTTGCCTGTGGCCTACTGGCAAGAACAGGCTAGAGAGTCGGAATCAGAAGGAGTTGTGTGTGGCTGGACAGCAGTGTGGCTGGTAGTTTCTTATGAGAGTGCTTATTGGAGGTGGTAAGAAGTGGATGGTCTTAAGCGATTTAGAAAGAAGACTCAGGAGTACCTAGTTTTACTTGCCTCTGGTTTTCTTTGTTTCTCTTTTCTCCTGCCCCCTTGTTTTTTCACTCCCTTATCTTCTCTGCCTCTATGCTCTGTAGCGTCTCTCACTTCCAGTTGTCGGTATGTTGGCCTCTCTTTCTTCATTCCTTGCTCACATATGTATCTTACTCTGCTCATTTACTTTACAAAATCAACTTTATTAAGTTATAATTTATAAAGCATAAAATGCAGACATTTTAAGGTACAGTTCAGTGAGTTTTGACAAATACATACACCTCTGTACCTACCACCACAGTCAAGATAAATAGAACCTTTCCATTTGTCCCAAAGATTCCTTTGTTTCCCTTTCTAATTAATCCCCACCCTTGGCCCAGACATCCACTGATTTTTTTTTTTTTTAAGTCTTTTTTTTATTGTTGTAAAAATACAGATAACACATTTGCCAGTTTAACATTTCTCAAGGGTACATTTCAGTGAGACCAATTATACCAGTTATATTATGCAGCCATCACCATAAACAGAAATTCACTGCTTCCTAAATGATGATTCTCTCCTTTCCCCCTCCCCCACACCCCTGGTAGCACTATTAAACGCTGATCTCTATACATTTGCCTACTCTTGAGTATTTAATATTAGTGAGATCACACAATATTTACCCTTTTGTGACTGATTTATTTCACTTAGCATAATGTTTTAAGGTTCATTCATGGTATCTGCATGTATTAGGATTTTGCTTCTCTTTGCGGATGCATAATATTCCATTGTATGTAAATACCACATTTTGTTTATCCATTCATCTGTTGATGGGCATTTGGGTTGTATCCACCTTTTGACTCTTGTGAATAGTACTGCAATGAACATTGATGTACATGTGTCTGTTTGCATTGCTCTCAAGTTTCTTGTGTATATACCTAAGAGTGGAATTGCTGGGTCATATGGTAGCTATATGTTTAACTTTTTGAGGAACTGCTAAAGTGTTTTTCATAGCAGCTGTACCATTTTGCATTCCCACCAGCAATGGATGAGGGTTCCATTTTCTCCATATCCTCGCCAATACTTGTTTTCTTGTCTTGTTTTATTTTTAATTATAGCCATCCTACTGGATGTGAAGTGATATCTCATTGTGGTTTTGATTTGGATTTCCCTAATGGCTAATGAAAGGAGCCCTTGTGGTGCAGTGGTTAAGCACATGGCTGCTAACTGAAAGGTTGGCGGTTTGAACCCGCAAGCCTCTCTGCAGGAGAAAGATGTGGCGGTCTGCTTCCATAAAGATTGTAGACTTGGAAACCCTATGGGACATTTCTACTGTGTCCTGTAGGGTCGCTGTGAGTTGGAATGGACTTGAGTTCAGCAGGTTTAATCGCTGATGATGTTGAACATCTTTTCATGTGCTTGTTGGCCATTTGAACATTCTGTTTGGTGAAATGTCTGTTCATGTCCTTTGCCCATTTTTTAATTGGGTTGTTAGTCTTTTTGTTACTGAGTTTTAAGAGTTCTTTATGTATGCTGGATATTAAACCCTTATTGGATAAATAGTTGCCAGATATTTTCTCCCATTCTGTAGGTTGCTTCTTCACTTTGTTGATAAAGTCCTTTGATGCACAAAAGTTTTCAATTTGATGAATTCCAATTTATATGTTTTGTCTTTTGCTACTCATGCTTTTGGTGTCAAATCTAGGAATCTGTTGTCAAAACAAGATCTTGAAACTTTACCCCTATGTTTTCTTCTAAGAATTTTATGATTTTCGTTCTCATATTAAAGCTTTTTTTTTGCATTAAAATTTTTAAAGTGATTTTTGTTGAAGAGTTTTATATTCCTGCTTCTGAATTTTAAGTGGCCATATCAGCTTATCATTTTCTCTAAAGGAGAACAAACACTTCTACAATGAATTATCTTTCTGATGTCTAAGGATTATTAACCCTTGTTGCCATTCCCCCTTATGTATTGTTATCTTCAGTGTTTATATGTTGGGCAAAGAAGATGTTATGGTACAGGTTATCATCTTTTTAAGTGATTTTGTTATGTGCTTTTTCTATACAAAGTGATAATTAAAAATCTCTAGCAAGTAAATATCTAATAGGACAAACCATCTTTGAAGTAAGGCTTTGAGGCACAGTTTTAACTTTTTTTAATGAAAGATCTAGATTTCCTTGTACATTTTGTTCTAAGCATAATTTCTATTAGTAGTTATTAAATGGCCAGCTTACCTACACAGTTAACAGAGCCAACTGCATGCAAGAAAAAAATTAACGTCTATAATCTTTGGTTGTGATTAAAAAATTAATGCCATAATTATTAAACAGATTGAATAAGGATTTGTCATCTCTCGTTGTTTTAACAGAACGTAATGGCCTATCTGTAATAGCAGCTTTTTAAAAATTCCTCATAGGCACTGTTGATTTGATGGGGCAATATAGAGATGTCAGTTTTATGGCTTCAAAGATCTACCACATATTTTGTAAACGTATTTCATTTATATTTTGGCAGTAGAGAGAGCAGGAAGATAATGCTTCCATTAAAGTGATCAACTATGCATGTAGAGATTGGGTATAAAGATGTGTGGAAAAGCTTTTAGATGAAACCCATTTTTCATGCGTAAATTGCATCTGCTGCATCTATAACTGTCTTATAATGCTTTGGGGGTGATTCAGCAAGTACAGCAGTGGAAATGATAGGTTTGTGTGCTGATCTTAAAGAAAGAAGTGTATAAATTGCTTTATAATAAGTGTGTCTGCTGCTCAGCTGTTATTTTGCATTAATCCACTTTTTTCTCTCTCAGCCTTTTTCTGTTTTCTTACATAGTTGATTAAAATTTTAATTAACTGTTACTATTTCAGCTGTTTTATTTTTCATTCTTAAAATAGTTATTTGTAAGTAAAAACAAACTCTTTTGTCCTCTTGCTATTTGGGACAGTGTATCTTTATGCTTTGAGGCATTAGTAGTCAGTATTAACATTGGCTGAAAGTAAACAATGAGAGAAGCTTACTTATTTTTCAAATACTTTAGGTATAAACTTTGAGTACTTTTAAAATTTTATATCCTAGTGAAATCCGTCTTAAATCAGTACATTATTCTGTGTAATAAATCCTTTTACTTTTAGAAATTTCACTTGAAATTTTAAAAAGATTACCTTCTGTCTTGATGAATTACTTTCCTTTTGGTAACGTGATTCTAAGCACTTCTGTATCTCAGAAATACACGGATTTTTGTTTCTTGCCTGTGCCTATCAATTTTGATTACATTCTTTTTGTGTTTTTTATTTTTCCTCTGGTGTCTTTTTCATCTGCTTTCTACAGATTTCCTCCTCTGATGCTCCTCTTCAGCCTTTGGTATCCTCTCCTTCTCTGCAAGCTGCTGTTGAGAAAAACAAATTGGAGGTATGGTAGTGTTTTAGCCAGCTGCATTATTCCTTTTGCAATGTGCCATAATTTGGTAGCGCTATAATACTTATTTATATGTCGAATGGCCTCCTGTATTAAATATGTTAAGTACATTTTCTAGAATATTTTCCTATGCCACAGGTAGGATTAAAGACTTTAATCTATATTTAGTTTTAGAATGGCTGATTTATTAATACAATAGGTATATCTGAACAGTTAAAAAGCAGTTAGTTTTTTTGTTTCCATTACTACCTTACATTTACAGAAACTTTTTTATTTCTGTGATTCTGTAATTAAAAGCATTTGAAGAAAGTTAATGTACCTTTTTTTTTTAAAATAACCATCATACAGATAAAATGTATGTAGTATGGAATCATGAGTTTCACATAATCAAATGATAATTGTTTAAATGTGTTTGGGGTAGGGTACTTAAAGTGCATGATATTACCATTATGTATTTTTAAAGTTATCCCTCCAAATGTTTGAGGGTTTTAATTTCCTTTGACTCTGTAGCTTTTTTTTTCTTTTGTTACACTGAATTTAAAGAGTCATTTTTTTTTTAAATTTGTGCTTTAAGTGAAAGTTTACAGTTCAAGTCAGTTTCTCATACAAAAGTTTATACACACATTGCTATGTGACCCTAGCTGCTTTCCCTATAGTATGACAGCACATTCCTCCTTTTTACCCCGGATTTCCCATGTCCATTCAACCAGCTCTTGTCCCTTTTTGCCTTCTCATCTCGCCTCCAGACAGGAACTGCCCATTTAGTCTCGTATCTACTTGAGCACACTCTTCACGAGTATCATTTCATGTCCCATAGTCTAGTCTAATCTTTGTCTAAAGAGTTAGCTCTGGGAATGGTTTCAGTTCTTGGCTAACAAAGAGTCCGGGAGCCATGTCTTCCAGGGTCCCTCCAGTCTCAGTCAACCTATTAAGTCTGGTCTTTTTACTAGAATTTAAGTTCTGCACCCCATTTTCCTTCCTGCTCCATCAGAGACTCTCTGTTGTGTTTCCTGTCAGGGCGGTCATTGGTAGTAGCCAGGCACCATCTAGTTCTTCTGGTCTCAGGCTGATGGAGTCTCTGGTTTATGTGGCCCTTTCTGTCTGTTGGGCTAATATTTTCCTTGTGTCTTTGGTGTTCTTAGTTCTCCTTTGCTCTAGGTGGGTTGGGACAAATTAATGTGTCTTCTATGGCTGCTCACTAGCTTTTAAGACCCCAGAGGCCACTCACCAAAGTGGGATGCAGAACGTTTTCTTAATAAACTTTGTTATGCCAGTAGACCTAGATGTCCCCTGAAACCATGGTCCCCAGACCCCTACCCCTGCTACTTTGTCCCTCGAAGTGTTTGATTGTATTCAGGAAACTTCTTAGCTTTTGGTTTAGTCCCGTTGTGCTGACTTCCCCTGTAGTGTGTGTTGTCCTTCCCTTCACCGAAGATAATTCTTACCTACTATCTAGTAAGAGGCATTCTTTTAACTAACATTTTTTCAGTGCCTACTCTTGATAAATGGTGTGCTAGTTTGGTTCTCACGGTACTCTTTGATCTTTCAGCAACTTTTGATTCTATAGGTGGGAGTCATCTGTGGATCAAACTGCATGGCCTGAGTTTAGGTCCCATGCTATTCATGTTACCTTAAACCCTGTGTCATAATACCACTGCCAGAATCAGAACTAATGACACCCCCATTTGGACAGCTGAAATTCCAGTGTAAAAAGAGCATTGGATCATGCTCTTCCTTTATTAAAAATGGCTAAGTAATTTGTTTTATTTTTGGTGATTTAATGTATGCCCAGCAGTCATAGCGATTAGGAAGACAAGCTTCTTCCCCACTGTCATGACAGTGACTTCTTGAGAAATAACTAATAGCTCTGAAAGGTTATGGAGCAACTCATCCCCAACATATTAGTGAGAATGTTCAATTACATTGCTTTCCTCACCAAACCTTATTAATGATATTTAGAAAACATTTTATAATATAGAAAGGATTTTTACACGTCACATATATTCTTCACTTATAAAGTGGGAGATAATATTACCTACCTCATAAACCTCATAAACTTGTTTTATCAAGACAGTGCCTGCAAGTAGTAAAAGTTCCATAAATACTAGTGCTGTTGTAAGGAAGAAAACAGTAAGACACAGTAAGTTGATAGTCTGGATTGTATAGTCCCTCAGACCTACTACTGATGAGTTGTGTTGCTTTGGTTATGCCTTTCCTAAGATACTGTTCCTTCATGTATAAAATGACAGTAATGACATATTTATTTCAAAGAGTTGTTATAAGGATTAAGTTAGTAAGGTATTTTGGTAAATATCACAGTGCCTGGCCTGTAAGAAGCACTTAATAAGTGGTAGCTGTGTTTTGGAAATGAAGGTTTTGATTTGGGGAATGGTTGAGTCACAGTAGGTAATGCTGTCAAGTTGGTTCTGACTCATATTAACTCTATAGGAACAGAGTAGGACTGCCCCATAGGGTTTCCAAGGAGCAGCTGGTGGATTTGAACTGCTGACCTTTTGGTTAGCAGCCGTAGCTCTTAAGCCACCAAGGCTCCAGGTAATGTCTAGTCCTCCTTAAAAGGTTGCATCTTCCTTATTTCTGGTGTGAAGTCCAAGGACTCTTAAGTGAAGCCCATATCCAGGCATTGAGCAGATTTAAAAATCTATTTTGGGAAATATACCCAACTTTCTAGTTTTCTCGCTGTGTTAGACTATGTTAGTATTCTTAATGTTCATAGCAAAATGCCAGTTTTGACACATGGTCATCTGGTAGTGAAAGCGTATAGATCACTCTTCAGTTTTTTAGCACTTCAAACATTCAGAAAGTTCAATTTTTTTGTCGACTTTTATCCTATTCCTGAAAAGCATTATTGAAACAGATGGTTTTAGAGAACGTTAGTCTAAGGGAGCCTTGGATATAAACTCTGTCTGGATTCTGGAAGTTCTTGTATCCTTCTATTACCAAAAAACAATATAACTACACTGTTAGCTTAACCTCCTTACAAAAGCTTTCACTGATTTGTGAATTACTGTTACACTCATTGCTTTTTATTAAGGGTTAGTAAAAGAAAGGTTAATAAAAGAAATGCTTTTAAATTTTTTCTGCTATTCTTAAAATTGCAGTTGTTATTATTTATTCATGCCATGTATTAATAGATCTTTGCTATGAAATCGTTTTAGAATTTGGAATCGGGACCAAGGTTTTTCCTTCCTCTTTTTTTTTTTTTTTTTTTTTTTTTTAAACCAGTCAACAAATAATAAAATTTTAATGTCTTGGATTTGGGTAGTGCTTTACAGTTTGCAGAGTTCTTTTTTTTTTGAGGTTTTTAGTTCCTTTTGTATTTTGTTTTTAATACAGCAATGCACATAAAACAAATGTCTAGTTTAATGACAGATTATAGAATAAACACCATATCACCAGTGTTGAAATTGAACATCATCAGCACCTTAGAAGCTCCTCGTAGGACTTAACCCAGTTTATCAGTAACCCCATCCCATAGCAAACATCCTGATATTTATCGTCAACACTTCTTTACTTTTCTTCGTAGTTTTATACTAATATACGTGCCCCCAAACCACATAGTTTTGGCTGTTTTTGAACTGTGTATGAATGGTTTTGCAAAGCCTTTTGGCCTATTAATTATAGGTATTATCTTTCCTGGGCCCTGGTGGTGCAGTGGTTAAGAGCTATGGCTGCTAACCAAAAGTTCAGCGGCTCAAATCCACCAGCTGCTCCTTGGAAACCCTATGGGGGCAGTTCAGCTCTGTCCTATAGGGTTGCTATAAGTTGGAATCGACTTGATGGCAATGGGGTTTTTTTTGTTGTTGGTGGTTTGGTTTATAAACAACAAAAATTCTACTCAGAGAGAGGTTGTATCCAATACTGTTTTAAAGGCACATGTGCAAACGCAACCTTTAGGTATTTTGAGTAATTTCTGTGGATTTATCATGCTGCTTTTTCTAGGCTGATTAGTTTTATCTTTTACTGTTTGCAACCAAGAAACAAAGGACTAGGTCAATGCTCAGTTGCAGTAGTTATCAAGTTCTAGATTTCTAGTCCTCTCTTCCCACTAAATGGCTGATGAATATTCTTTGTTCGTCTTTATTTCATTTTCCTTTTTTTGACATTTTTGAGGCCTTTTAAAGTTAAATTTTTAATATTAGTATATCCTCTCTCTTCTTTTGGGAAGTAGGCAGGATGGAAATTGTGAATATTATAATACCGTTATAGTTTATCTTGACTGCTATAGCTTTTAAGTATACTAGTTAACTGGTTCTGGTCCCCAAGAACTATTTTCAACATTTTTTTCCTGAGAAAGTTATTATACTTGCCCTTTTTCCATTGAAATGGACTGAAAAAGTATTTGGTGATGTTTTTAAAATTTAAAAGTGATTTTATACTTCTTCCCCTATGTTTACGTGTTATAATCTCTTCTTTATCCATGTGATAAGGAATTTTGTTCCATCAGTTACTTTATTTTTCCTTCTTATTTAAAATTCAACTTTATGGTTGTTATTAGGAAGCCTAACCTTATATAAGGATGTAGTAAGAATTTATTGAATGGAGGTCTCATTTATTTAAGATAAACAAACACAAAACAAACCCTAAATGTACAAGAAGTTCTAAATTGTCTTACTTTGTGTTAATCTTTTTTTTTAACGAAGTGATATTCTCTATTGTGTCATCAACATGTAACCTCAATGAAAGTATTAATTTGCTATATTTAGTTTTATATTTCTGTATCACCTAGATATTGTCATCATTGAATATTTCCCTCTTTCTCAAATGATGATTCAAACTAATAAAATAAAAAATGTGTTAAAAGTTGACATTTTTGAAATGTAAGCTTACTGTCAAAACTTTGGATTGTGTTTTAGAAAGAAAAGGAAAAAAAAAAGGAAGAGAAAAAGAGAGAAAAGGAGCCAGAAAAGCCTGCAAAACCTCTTACAACTGAAAAGGTAAAATTCCTTTTTTTTTTAAACCTATAAAGATTGCCGTCTTATTTGTATACTTATGTATAGACTTTCCAGATGTTCATGATATGCAAATAATCATTCAACAAGTGTTATTGAGTGAATATCGTGTGCTAAGCTTGTCCTTCTAGCTGTCCTATATGATTTGTAATCAGTTATTTATATGTGCGTATAGATCATGTCAAGTTCCTCTAGGGCAAGTACTCTTACTAATGACATAAGAGATGGTGTTTTTAGTTCCCATGTATTTAGTCTCATCAGGGAGATAAATCGTGTCAATAAGGTAACTCTTATCAGGTAACTCACTGGGACAAAATAAGAGTGGTACAATTAAATTGAAGTGGAAGTTTAGAGAATGAAGAGAACACACCTAGAAGGGGCCTTGAGAAAAGACTCCATACCGAACATTAGCATTTGCGTTAAGTCTTGAAGTGTAGGTAGGATTAAGGTGGAGGCAGGAATACATCAGTTGAAGAGAACAGCCTGAGGACAGGCATGGAAACTGGGAAAAGACAAAGTATGTTTAGAAAAATATTAAGTAATGCAGTTGGAAGAAAAGTGTATGTCTATGTATAGAAAATAGTGAAAAATAATACCAGGATGGTAGATTGAGCTCAGCTTCTAGAGTATCTTAAATTCCAAGTTGAAGTGTTTATTTTTTGGGGAGGAAAGACTGTAGGCAGCATTTTAAAGTTTCTAAAGCAGGTGGTGTACCTAACTCAGAAGGATACTTTTAGAAGATTAATTTGGCAGTGACGTGCAGGATAGTTGTGAGGAGGCAGACTTGTGGTAGGAAGAACAGTTATGCTTTTCTGATGGAATTGGCTATATAATTATGGTGACTTGACTTTGAGTGCATTTCGTCATACTAGCATGGTAAGGGAGTTTTCTGTAAAGGGAATATCCTTGATTTTAGTTGTTGAAATTTTTAAAAATCAGCTTTATTAAGGTATAAATTACATACTACAAAGTGCATCCATTTAAAGTGTACAGTGGAAATATACACACTGGTTCTTTCTCTGTCATTTATTGAAGCTGTCTCTGCCTTCAAAAAGTTACAGACTTTCAACACTTACGATATACCACTTATCCTAAGATGCCCCAATCCTTAGTGGAACAGTCAACACTATCTACCATCTGACCCTTCACCTGCCTTGCTGCATTCTCCCTTCATCCTTCACACCAGCCATACTTGTCTACTGTTACCTAAACTCACTTTCTATTCCCCTTTTCATCCCTCTGCTTACTAAATTACTTTTCCAAGAATGTCCTTTCCTCTCCCCATCTTACCTAAAGCTTACTTATTCTTCCTTTTCTATGAAGTCCCTCTAAACATGTCAACTGGATTTGCTTTCTCCCTTCTTCAGAATTCTGGTGACAGTGCCACACATTTGATTTTATTATTTCTTCCTTGTATTATTGTTTAATTGTATTGTTAGATAAGTTTCCTTATCTAACATAGACACACCAGTGTTTTGTTTCATAAGATTATTACATCAATCAGGTGGGAGCCAAGTCTTATATTTCTTTGTATCTTTACCAGTTTCTTGCGTGTAGTAGATGCTTAGGATAAATACATGTAGATCGATCAATTCGTTGATGTTTTTCATCTCATAATTCCTGTTCGTGTCTTGATTCCAAAGTCCTGCAGAAATATTAATAAACTGCTGTCTATTAATAGGCAATATTTTAAATACCAAAGACTGTAAGACTATCTTACTTTGTGGAATTCTTTGAAATTTTTCCCTGAAATACTTTTCAGTTAAAGTTAGTTTCTTTGAATATCACTGCTATTTGTCATTGCTGTAGTAGTAGATTACTGAATTAAATTCTTACCTCTCACCAATTTAAATTTAGATGTTAAATATTTTAATAGTTTTCAAAAGAAGCGATTAAATTGGTGCTTATAACCTGATGACAAATAGCTTTAATTCTCCTCTGAAAACTTTCTTTTTAGCGTGAATCAGTAAGAAGCTAAAAGTAAAATCTCTCACAGTTTTCTTGTTTGATTACAGAGGAATTTAAAATCATTACTAGGTTTTATCTTTTTCCAAAAATTGACAGTTTCAAAAATAAGGAGTTTATATAATGCCTTATTGTTGTATTTGGTAAGATATAAAACTGAACCACTTTGAAAACGTCATATATTTATTTCCTCTCTTTAAAAGAAAATGTATTTCACCATTAAAATAGTCAGGATTTGATGTGGTGACCTTGTATGTTTTGTAGCCTTGCATGTAAATGCCTGCCTTTTGTTCCCTGCTGTGAAAATGGGCCACAACAGTAACCTCCTGAGTCTCTGGACCTGGAGCCTGAGAAAAGCAGTTGAAGGTGTGTGAACAGTGAGGAATCTAGCACTTTTCCTATACTGTTTTCTTACAGTACATAGATTTTATCAAACCCAGTTCACACCTCATCAGTTATTCTTGCTCATCTTGTGGAGGTTTAGGACTCGTACTGCTGAAGGTGGAGGCCTTGCTGAGAGAAAAATCACATAGAGGCTAAAACTTAAGTTCCTTTCTTAATTGTGTGGTCAGGATAGTACAGAATGTATAAGAAGGAAAATACATTTAAAAAGTATCACAATGGGGAAACAATGGAAGACAAATAGCACAAATAAAGAAGTTTTACATCTTTTTCTTTATGTTCTCCTTGAACTGATATTTTCAGTGGGCATGTATAATCTATAAAGGAGAAATTAGTAGTAATAGTAGTGAAAATATTAGCAATATTAATCATCGTAGTCAGAATAGTTTCATGATCATAAATAAATTTTGGTTAGCAGCCGATCGCTTAACCAATGCGCCATCAGGGGTCCCTAATAGATAATAATTGAGATTATTGATGATCTTCTATGTGTCAGGAGCTGTGGTAGGTGTTTTACATACATGGCCTTTTTGTTTTTCAGTTTTACATTTTAAATTATGGCATATTTAGAAAAAGTATGTACACCTTTTATGTACAGTTGTACATATATGGTTTATATGTAAAGTGACCACCCATGTTACCACTACCTAGGTCATGAAGTAGAACATGGCCAGCACCCTAGAAACTCTCCCCTCATAACCCTTCCCAATTAAAAATCACTCCCTTCTCCCATAGATAATCTTTTCCTTGTATTTAAAATATACCCCTACCATCAAGGTTACTTCACATCCTCCACAGAACATAGCATTGTCAGAAATTTTAATATTTGCAGTTTGGTGGATATGTTATGGTCTCTTACTATATTTCTTCCTTTCTTTTTTTAATTACACTCTAGGTTTACAGAGCATATTAGTTTTCCATTCGATAATAGTTTATACACAAATTGTTCTGTGACATTGGTTGACGTTGAGTTGATTCTGACTCATAGTAATGCTATGAGGCAGAGTAGAACCGCCCCATTGGGTTTCCAAGGAGCGCCCGGTGGATTCGAACTGCCGACCTTTTGGTGGTTAGTAGCCTGACACTTAGCCACTATGCCACCAGCGTTTCCCTGTCCCCATTACCACCCTGAGTTCCCCATTTCCATTTGTCCAGTTTTTCTGCCGTCTCATCTTTGCTTTTGGGATGATGTTGCCCTTTTGTTCTCATATAGATGATTGTTCTAAGGAGCACTTTCTCCTCATGAGTGTTGTTTAGTTTATAGGACTCTTATTTAGCTGAAAGGTGATTCTGGGAATGACTTCAGTTCGAAGTTAGAAGGGTGCCCAAGGGCCACCGTCTTGGGGGTTCCTCTGGTAAATCTAGTCTTTAATATGAATTGAATTTTGTTCTACGTTTTTTTCCCGCTCTAACTGGGACTTTCTATTGTGATCCTGGTCAGAGCAGTCAGTAGCTGGGCACTATCTAGTTCTTGTCTCAGGCTAGTGGAGGCTTGGGTTCCTGTGGTCCATTAATTCATTGGACTAGTTCTTTCCTTGAGTCTTTGGTTTTCTTTACTCTCTTTTGCTCTGGACGGAAAGAGACCAAAAGTTGTATCTCAGATGGCCACTTGCAAGCTTTTAAGACACCAGATGCTACTCACCAAAGTAGAATGTGAGACATTCTTTATGAACTGTGTTATGCCAGTTGAACTAGATGTTCCTCGATACTATGGTCCTTAGCCTTCAAGCCCAGTAACTCAGTCCCACGAGGTGCTTGGTTATGTCTAGGATATTTCCATGACTGTGCTCCCTGTGTGCTCTATTATATATATGAATATACATGCAGCACTTGCAAATATGTATGTAGAATATTCACAGCCAAACCTATATATGCACGTGGGCATACTACCATATGCCCTCCCACATCTATCCTCCCATATCTACTTAGGTATCTACTCATAAATTATTGTTTATTACTGTTGTTGCAGGATTATACATGTTACAGTATTTACCATTGTTGCCTTTTATTCTTCCATACCTCTCAGTGTCTCATGATATTTCTGATAGTCATTTCCTTGATTACTAGTGAGCCTGAGCACCTTTTCATATGTTTATTGCCCATATGGATTTCCTTTTTTGGAGTCCTGGTTGAGGTCTTTTGCCTATTTTTCTATTGGATTTCTGCCTTTTCCTCATTGATTTGTAGCAATCCAGGTATATATAGTGGATACTAGGCCTTTTTCAGTTATGTGTTTGCAAATATCTTATTTCTGTGGCTTTATTGTGACTAATTTTATTGCTCTCTTTCTTTATGGTTTGTGAATTGGTGATAAAGGGCATCTTTGTCTTATTCTTGACATCATAGGGTAAGCTTTCAATGCTTCACCTGCATGTATTATTTTTAATCCTCACAAAAACAAGGAAACAAGTTTGTTTTTGTTGGTCCTATTTTATAAATGAGGGAACTATGATTCAGAGAGAATATATGATTTGCCTAATGTTAGCTAGTTTCGTTGGAGAATTTATGGAGTTTGGGTTGGAAAGGTAAGGATTTTATTATTTTTAAGGCAGCACAGATGAAACTCCATCTCACGTTTCCTTGTGTGTTTAATTTTGTTTTTAAAAGCATAATGCTTG